AATGACAGAAAAAAGATAAAAATCACAACAAACAGGATTCCTATGAAGGGATCTCAATTTAACAATAAGAAATATGATCAGAAACAATAAAATCCGAAGGAAAATGGGAGTATAGCAGCTCTGATTTTATTAGAAAACAGGTGAAATAGTTTGGCCATTTACCACGGATGTTAGCAAACAGTGGTGTACAGACCGGGCAGGAAGCGAAGAAGAGGCTGTTTCCCGTAAAATATACTTCACGACACCGCAAGTTATGAGATGAGATTATTCAAATGTCAAACTATGTCTAAGCAGTATCTTATTTATTGCCACTTTGATTTCCAACTTCACAATATCAGGTGATCCCTTTTGCAGTCTTCTCTTTGTTGTAGAGTATTTAATTGTATTGAAATTTTAGTTTTAATCCCTAGGTTTAGTCTCAAATTTTACAGGATTGGGAGGAATTTTAGGGGGATTCTCTTAGTATTGACTGTTATATAGTCTACCTAGTTATTCAGTGCTCTAGGCTGATTCTTGTCAGTTTTGTTTTGGCTAAGTCCTTCAGCCGTGTTTTCATTCATTTTGCTGGTGCATTCTTATATTTTCTGTTCGCATTAGGATGTAATTATAGTCTGATAATATAGATGTTGAATGCCCTGCGTTCTTTGCTCTCTAATCCTTCTCTTTTCTATTGCAGACCTGTTTTTTTTAGCCCCATCAATCAGCTGAGGGTTTTCATTTATTAATGTCTTTTTGTGTGTGTGTAGATATAATTTGATTTAGCTGCCGTGATTTGTATAATCTTCTAGCCTATGTATGGCCTGTTGTTAAACATTGCTTGGACTTTGTTTCCCCTCTGTCTTGTCTCCCTATCCCTTTGCCGAGTGATTTAATGTAATTTTCTCTATATGGCCACCACCTTCCTTCGCTTTTGTTCCTACATTTTTGGTGTAGTTTCTCCATGTCAGTCTCGTGTCACTAGTGTGCCTTAAGTGATATGCAGGTTGTTGTCACTTATGTATAGATACAAATCCTGATTTTGCTTGCATTTTATTTGAAAAGGGGAAGGGAGGGGTAATGACGAAATTGCTGCTACTCCATCTCTTTGCCCAGGAATACAAAAGATCAATTATTCACTGTTGTAGTTTGGGGCAGTTTTGTGTTTATGAAATTACCAGATTGCGAGTTTGTGATAACATATGAAAGTGTGGAAGTAGAGCAACCAGGTAGTTAATGTAGATTAGTAAAGGTTAGATCCATCAGCTTAGGGAGGCAAGAGGGTATTGACACAGTTATGCAGGGCTTTCTCACTGTTGGGTCCATCTATCTGTAGTTGGACTCTTCACACCTGAAAGTGTTCTCATTTGTGTGTGAATCAAGAGGTGAGGAAACGATGTTGGTACTGGAGATGACTGGAATCCCACATAAATAAAAGGAAGACTTTACACATGAAGATAATTTGGTGGGGTACGTTAGATGGCGAAAAGTGTTGCTGCATGGGGTGGGGAGGGGGGGGGGGGGGTACCCTACCAGATGTGTCCTGGTAGGAAGTAGTACTTACTGGGAACGAAACCAAATCACCGAATGTTACTGAGAGTGGGTTCCTCCATGGAAAGTCTTGATGGACAATAGCCACCCAGTTTGAAATCAAGAAAGCTCCTCATTTCTTCTTCTTACAGTCCATGCGGTGGGGCATTGGTAATCATGTCTACCCACAGGCTTCTGTCTTGTGCATTTTAAGTCATTTCTGACACATTTGATCTACCATGCCATTGTATCAAACTGTCCAGTATCTTCCCTTCTTGGTCTCCCTCTGTCTCTATTCCCCTCAAACTTTTCCGGTGTCACAATGTTCTTCAGTTTTCTCATTCTCATGACATGACCAAAGAAATTTAGATTGTCTCCTGTTGTGGCAGTCAGTTCTCTACATGGGTCAGTTTCTTTTAAGACATGTTTGTATCTTTTTTTGTCAAGGGTGTTCTCATCATTGGTCTATAAAACCACACCCCAATCACTTCCACAATTTTTCTTTAACAATTTTTGTTTAACCAACTGTCCATGATTCACATCCGCATGTCTGTATAGGATTTATGAGAATTCGCTTTCTTGCCTCAATGACAAAGGTTGCTTAGAAAACTTATTTAAGCAAAGTTTTCATGCAGTCATGCATGTAGAAAATTTTGATGTATATGGAGAGCACATGGAGTGGGGGGGGGGGGGGGGGGCAGAGTGAGGCGCAGGCAGGCGTGAGGTGCAGGAGATACCAAAGACAGAATTTAATGTGAATTTTGGGAGGGATTTACACTTCAATAGAGGATAGTCAGGTTAGGTGCACAGTGTTGATGTATTTAGTTGTATTCAGAAAATTCTGACATCCAACTCAGATGTTTTTATTCATGGCTCATTATAAAGAAAACCGACAAAAGTCTAGTATGCTTTTCACTGCTTGCTATCATCACCCGGCACACCAAATTTCCAAAATACTTTTTAAACTTACATTAACCATTGCATATTTCAGCTTGTGAGATTAGAAATTATAGCTGAATTGTAAGTAAAAAAAAGTAAAGGACCCTGTTCCACACCTTAAGGCGTATAGGGCATATAGGGCTAGACCTATATTTTATAGACCAATCGGCACAAGATGGGTGATGTGGTCAGCATCACGCCGGCCGCCTCTACTTCCCGGGACTGCACCCACTCAAGGCTGGGTCGACCTGGGAGCCAAGGTCATTTTTGAAGAAAAGTCCTGCTCCGCCAGGGAGCGAACCCACGACCTTCCGATCCGCGGCGTGCATCTAGCCGCTCTGCCACGGAGCTGAATTGTAGTTGACTAAAAAAAAAATAATAATTTTGTTTTAAAGTTTTTAAGCATTCTGTAATTTCTAATTTAAATCTCATGTTTTCCTCTTGCGGGTTAGGACATTCAGAATAGTCTTTCATTCTCTTGAAGTGTATCCGTTTTCAGCCATTATTTATTCTGTGGCTTAACCTGCCAGCCTGTTTAATTCAAATATTGTGTTTGCTCATGTGTTTGAGATCATCCTGGTGGATTAAGTGTTTACCTGTTGAATTTATCATGTTTATTTCTGGTAGTCTCAAGATTGTTGCTAGACGACTCATCTGGTGCCCAGCTTCCTTACTACACTGTTTACTTGCATTTAACTTGGTTTACCACACTGTAGACTGGCATTTGGCTTGGTTTACCACACTGTAGACTGGGATTTGGCTTGGTTTACCACACTGTAGACTGGGGTCCAGCTTGGTTTACCACACTGTAGACTGGGGTCCAGCTTGGTTACCACACTGTAGACTGGGGTCCAGCTTGGTTTACCACACTGTAGACTGGGATTTGGCTTGGTTTACCACACTGTAGACTGGGATCCGGCTTGGTTTACCACACTGTAGACTGGGGTCCAGCTTGGTTTACCACACTGTAGACTGGGATCTGGCTTGGTTTACCACACTGTAGACTGGGATTTGGCTTGGTTACCACACTGTAGACTGGCGATTTGGCTTGGTTTACCACACTGTAGACTGGAGATCCAGCTTGGTTTACCACACTGTAGACTGGGATCTGGCTTGGTTTACCACACTGTAGACTGGGGTCCAGCTTGGTTTACCACACTGTAGACTGGGGTCCAGCTTGGTTTACCACACTGTAGACTGGGGTCTGGCTTGGTTTACCACACTGTAGACTGGGGTCCAGCTTGGTTTACCACACTGTAGACTGGGGTCCAGCTTGGTTTACCACACTGTAGACTGGGATCCAGCTTGGTTTACCACACTGTAGGACTGGGGATCTGGCTTGGTTACCACACTGTAGACTGGGATGGCTTGGTTACCACACTGTAGACTGGGATCTGGCTTGGTTACCACACTGTAGATTGGGATTTTGGCTTGGTTACCACACTGTAGATTGGGATTTGGCTTGATTACCATCTCTGTAGACTTGGGATTTGGCTTGATTACCACTCTGTAGACTGGGATTTGGCTTGGTTATCACACTGTAGATTTGGATTTAGCTTGGTTATCATACTGTAGACTGTGATCGGTTTACCACACTTTAGACTGGGGTCTGGCTTGGTTTAACACACTGTAGACTGAGGTCTCGCTTGGTCATTACATTAGTCTGTATCTTTGTTTTGTTAGATTGGTTGCTTTCTATGTGTTGTATACTGATGGCTTTCTAATCATTGTTCATTTTGTCATTGATGATTGTTTTATTGGGAAGTTGACCAGCTCTGCTTTTCTGTTAGTTTTACCACATTGTGGATTTGGACAGTAGTCCAGTTTCGTTTGCTTGATCACCAGACTGTAATTAGTAGCCCAGTTACAGTAGCATAATTACTGCACTGTAGTCAGTAGCCTTACCATAGTGTTAATAGTTGAGCAATTTGTATTAGCTTTTTATCATCCTAAAAGCTCAACATTACTGGTGCAATGACAAAATATAGGAAGACTTGGCATGAGTTGGTTGAAATTCTGCTCCACTGGGGGAAAACAAACTAATAACATAATGATCATGTTGCTTCTTAAAGATCTGTTCTGTTTTAATGTTTAAAAAAATGCTTAGCTAAGAAAGGTTGTTACTGAACATTTGAAATTCTGTTCTGTCCCCCCCCCCCCCCCCCTTTCCAAAAGGGGACCCAGAACACAGGAAACATCTGCAATAGTTTTTTTCATTTACTTTAGCATTAAGTTGTTTTTTTTTTAGCAGTGAAGTTTTTTTTTATTTACTTTAGCATTAAATTGTTTTTTTTAGCAATGAAGAAGTTTTTTCATTTACTTTAGCATTAAATTGATTTTTCAGCATTGAAGAAGTTTTTTTCATGTACTTTAGCATTACATTTTTTTTTTTCAGCATTGAAGAAGTTTTTTTCATTTACTTTAGCATAACATTTTTTTTTTCAGCATTTAAGAAGTTTTTTTCATTTACTTTAGCATGAAATGTTATTTTTTTTCAGCATTGAAGATTGGATATTGCTTCACCTAACTCACCCAGATGGGACTTGGCTTAAGTGATGCTCCGTAAACTACAGTGTCCACATATACAAGCTGCACAGCGCCTGGTTCTAAAAAAATTCACAATGCTGCTCTTCTGTGCAGCCATGACAATCAGCTTTATTGGTGAGTGATATCTGTAGAGAGTTGCCTCATGTATTGTCTTTTGTTTTCTCTTGTTTGTTTTGTTGTCTTCTTGTGAATGCAAAGGAGGGGATGCATTTGTTGCAACTCAACATAAATAGGGATTAGTTTATACCAATACAAGTATTCTAGCATAAAGGTGAATTTGAGTTTCAGTTTTGTGGGGGTGAATTTGTGCTCCAATTTTATAACATAAAAGTGAATTTGTGTTCCAGTTGTATAAGGGTAAATTTGTGGTCCAGTTGTAAAAAAAAAAAGGGGATAAATTTGTGTTCCAGCTGCATAACATAAGGGCGAATTTGTGTTCCAGTTGTTTAACAAGAACAAATTTGTGTTCCAGTTGTATAACATAAGGCAATTTTGGATTCTAGTTGTATTTAAAAAGGGCAAGTTTGTGTTCCAGTTGTATAAGAATGACTTTGTTTTCCAGTTGTATAACATAAGGGTGAATTTGTGTTCTAGTTGTATAAAAATAATAAGGGTCAATTTATGTTCCAGTTGTATAACATAAGGATGAATTTTTTTTTCAGTTTTATGTTTCAGTTGTATAAAAAAAAGGGTGAATTTGTTTTCCAATTGTATAACATAAGGGCAAATTTGTGTTCCAGTTGTATAAGGGTGGATTTGTGTTTTTTGTATAAAAACAAGGGTAAGTTTCTGTTTCGGTTCTATAAGGGTGAATTTGTTTTCCAGTTTTATGTTCCAGTATAAGTGTGAATTTGTCTTCCAGTTGTATAAGATATGGGCAAATTTGTGTTCCAGTTGATTAAGAAATGAGGGCAAATTTGTTTTCCAGTTTTAACATAGGGACGAATTTGTGTTGCAGTTATAAAACATAAGGTTGAATTTGTATTGCAGTTGTTTATTAATAAGGGTTAATTTGTGTTTCAGTTTTATAACATAAGGATGAATTTGGGTTCACAGTTGTATAACTTTAGTGGGAATTTGTATTCCAGTTGTTTAACATAAGGATGAAGCTGTTTGCTGCATTCCAGTTTAACATACAGGTTCATTTATCTACTGTATTCCAGTTCTGATCTGAGATTGAATCAGTCTGTTGTGTAACATGGCTATTTTATCAGATGTGACCCACTTGTAACACAAAAATGAATCTGTTGACTGGGTCTCACTTGTAATATAAAGATGAATTCTTTCTACTGTTTGTTGTATATCATAAAGCTGAATTATGTCAGACTTGTTCACATGTGGATTGGCACCTGCGACAGTACATCACATCCTCCAAGACTATCCCAAGTACAACATATCAAGGCAAAACTTCTGGCCAAGAGAAAGACGGGTGCAAGCCATACTTCACTGGTCACTGAGTGAATTACAAGAGACAGTGAAGTACTACAAATATTACAAATATAGATAGAGATGTAGTTTCAAGCAAATGCAAAAAGCAGCAGCTTCTAGAAAAAAAAGTAACCATGAATGTGAATGATTTCCAAGTCCAAACAGTAGTTTCTCAAATAAAGAACTGGTGTAACATGGAACCTTTTCAGCAGTGTAAGCAGTCCTGAGTAAGAGATAAGAGCATTTTATTGTTCAGCATCATTCAAATAATAACTGGATATTTAATAAATTTTTAATCAATTTACACTAAATTGGTTTCTGACACATATAGAATTCCAGACTGGTTAGGGATGCAGAGAATTAGACACTGGTGATAGATGAGATAGATAGGGGAGTAGAGAGATGAAGAAAGGTGGAAAATAGATAATATGGGTTGGAGTTCATGTGAGGAAGAAGTTGGGGAGAGATGGTTGTGCATGATGGCTATATGAGCCAGAGATAGAGAGGAAGGGAGGTTTACAGCATGAGAGAGATGCAGAAAGACGGACAGTATTTTATGTAATCAGAGATGGACAGTCGACACAAATGGGGATGGGTAAAAACATTAGGCGGACAGTAGAAATATGGAAAAGGATAGGGTTAGAAGGAGGTAATCAGTAAATACTGGGTTATAGGTATAGGTAGATGGAGGTAGTCAGTAGATACTGGGTTATAGGTAAGGGTAGATGGAGGTAGTCAGTAGATACTGGGTTATAGGTAAGGGTAGATGGAGGTAGTCAGTAGATACTGGGTTATAGGTAAGGGTAGAGGTAGATAGCAGTTAGTCAGTAGATACTGGGTTATAGGTAAGGGTAGATGGAGGTAGTCAGTAGATACTGGGTTATAGGTAAGGGTAGATGGAGGTAGTCAGTAGATACTGGGTTATAGGTAAGGGTAGATGGAGGTAGTCAGTAGATACTGGGTTATAGGTAAGGGTGGATGGAGGTAGTCAGTAGATCCTGGGTTATAGGTAAGGGTAGATGGAGTTAGTAGATACTGGGTTATAGGTAAGGGTAGATGGAGGTAGTCAGTAGATACTGGGTTATAGGTAAGGGTAGATGGAGGTAGTCAGTAGATACTGGGTTATAGGTAAGGGTAGATGAAGTTAGTCAGTAGATACTGGGTTATAGGTAAGGGTAGATGGAGGTAGTCAGTAGATACTGGGTTATAGGTAAGGGTAGATGAAGGTATTCAGTAGATACTGGGTTATAGTTAAGGGTAGATGGAGGTAGTCAGTAGATACTGGGTTATAGGTAAGGGTAGAGGTAGATAGCAGTTAGTCAGTAAATACTGGGTTATAGGTAAGGGTAGATGGAGGTAGTCAGTAGATACTGGGTTATAGGTAAGGGTAAATGGAGGTAGTCAGTAGATCCTGGGTTATAGGTAAGGGTAGATGGAGTTAGTAGATACTGGGTTATAGGTAAGGGTAGATGGAGGTAGTCAGTAGATACTGGGTTATAGGTAAGGGTAGATGGAGGTAGTCAGTAGATACTGGGTTATAGGTAAGGGTAGATGAAGTTAGTCAGTAGATACTGTGTTATAGGTAAGGGTAGATGGAGGTAGTCAGTAGATACTGGGTTATAGGTAAGGGTAGATGAAGGTATTCAGTAGATACTGGGTTATAGTTAAGGGTAGATGGGGGTATCAGTAGAGACTGGGTTATAGGTAATCGTAGATGAGGGTAATAGGTAGATACGGGGTGAGAGATAGGAGTGGGTAACGTAAAGTCGGGAGATGTGAACCAGCGTCATTGCACACGGTTATAAACCATAAGTGCTCTTCCACCCGTACGGACAGCTGATTAGAAACTGTCTGCTCGTGTCGCCATCCGCATGAAACTATAGTTACGACGACGTTCCTCCATTTACCCCAGAGAGAGGCTGGGTGAACCCTTGGGAACTGCCCGGTTTTGAACACCGGCCATGGGCTGCAGCGAGTCACAGCTGGATTTGAAAGCGAGTCCTTTTGACTGTGCTAATGTGGCCCAATCAGCAAATACTTAGTGGGAAGTAACGGTCGATGGATGTAAATAGTAGATACAGGGTGAGAGGTAGGGGTAGAAGGAGGTAACCAATAAAAACATGGTTGAGAGGTATGTGTAGGTGAGGTAATCTGTAGATGCTTGGTTGTGGGTAAGGGTAGTTAGAGGTATTCAGTAGATGCTGGGTTAGGTAAGGGTAGATGGAAGTAATCGGTAGATACTGGATGAGAGGTAAGGGTCGATAGAGGTAAACAGTAGATACTGGATGAAGGGTAGGTGGGTGGGGGGGGGGGATGGAGGTAATCAGTAACTACTGGGTGAGAGATAAGGGTAAGTAGTTGAGGGAGGTAATCAGTGAATACTTGTTTAGAAGTATGTGAGGGAGGGAGGCAGTCAGTAGATACTGGGTAAGAGATAAGGATAGGTGAAGGGAGGAAGTTAATCAATAGATACTGGGTGAGAGAAACGGGTAGATGAAGGAATGTAATCAGTAGACACATGGATGAGAGATAGGGGTCGATGGGGGGAGGTAATCAGTAGATGCATGAGTGAGAAAGGGGTAGATAAGTGAGAGACACGGGTAGATGAGTGAGAGACAGGGGTAGATGAGTGAGAGACAGGGGTAGATAAGTAAGAGAAAAGGGTAGATGGAGGAAGGTAATCAGTAGGTACATGGGTGAGAGATAAGTGTAGATGGAGGTTAGTCAATAGATACATGAATGAAAGATAGGGATAGATGGAGGCAGGTAATAAGTAGATACATGGGTAAGAGATGGGGAGAGATGGAGGAAGGTAGTCAGTAGTTACATGAGTGAGAGAGGGGTAGATGGAGGAAGATAGTCAGTGGATATATGAGAGAGAGGGGGTAGATGGAGGAAGCTAGTCAGTAGATTACATGAGAGAGAGGTGGGTGTAGATGGAGGAAGTTAATCAATACTAGATACATGGAGAGAGAGGTGGAGGGATTCATGGACAAAATATGGAGAGGCAGAGAGAGAGAGTGAGAGATATGGGCAGCAGATTTATAGATGAAAGTTGAGTAGTGTATACCTAGGGGTGAGATAGTAAAAAAAAGGGAGCACTTAGGTGTATTAGAAATATAAGGCAAGACCTATATTTGTATAGACCAATCCGCACTTGGTGGGTGATGTGGTCAGCAGGGGTGAGATAGTGGACAGTAGATAATGGGCGAATGATAAGGGTAGACATGGGAGGTAGAAAGTAGATACATGCATTGGAGGTGGATGGAGATATACCGTAGATACCTGGGAGAGAGACAGATGGAAGGGTGTAGAGAAACTAGGACAAATCGAGTGTAGTAGAGAGAGAGAAGAGAGAGGAAGGACAATACATAGTTCAGATGCTGGGAGGAGGAAATCAGTAGGTACATGGAGGGTATATAAAGATTATGATGGGGAGAGAAATGAATACAAGGAGGGATAGAAACTGCACGTATGTCAGGTTGACATGAAACCCGTTCATTATAATTGTCTGGAGAGTTGGGGACTGTTGACAGACTTAAAATAAACTGACTCTTATGTTGGCTCTTCGAGGTTGCCTAACACGGAAGGGCCCAACTTAGAGGCATCTTGACATGCTAAGGCACACAGCTAAAAATGCATCAACTGCACTTTGTACCTCTTGTGGAGAAGCTTTTACAGATTAGACCTTATTTGTTGAATCATTAGCTAGTTTGTTCAGTAAACAGATGTCTGCAGAAAGTGTGTGGGCGCATGTAGTTTGTAACATTTAATTTATGTATTGTACAGAAAGCAAACATGATACCTGTTAGAGGGCGTTAAAAGTTTTACACCCAAGTTTCCACTCATCCCCTTTCAGAGGACAGTCCCAGAATTGGGTCTTTGATTTATTCTCACCCCCCCCCCCCCCCAACCCCCAATTAAGTGTCCTTATTATGTATCAGAACTTGAGGTCAGGGAAGGGGGGTTATATTTCACCTCTAACTGCCTCTGTGTTCAACACTGGAATAGGTGATCCTAGCTAGATTCCTTATCCTCTCCTGTGTGTGTTCAACACTGGACTAGGTGATCCTAGCTAGATTCCTTATCCTCTCCTGCGTGTGTTCAACACTGGACTAGGTGATCCTAGCTAGATTCCTTATCCTCTCCTGCGTGTGTTCAACACTGGACTAGGTGATCCTAGCTAGATTCCTTATCCTCTCCTGCGTGTGTTCGAATGCCCTTGCTAAATGCTGGGTATTCAAATAATTATGCCTACAGCTCATAAATTTTAAGAGCTTATTTTACTCTGTTTTCCCCCAAGACATCCAGAGACCAATTGTCATTTTACTCTTGAATGGTTTTCTACCTAAGACATCCAGAGACGAATTGTCATTTTACTCTTGAATGGTTTTCTACCTAAGACATCCAGAGACCAATTGTCATTTTACTCTTGAATGGTTTTCTACCTAAGACATCCAGGGACGCATTGTCATTTTACTCTTGAATGGTTTTCTACCTAAGACATCCAGGGTCTACCTAAGACATCCAGAGACGAATTGTCATTTTACTCTTGAATGGTTTTCTACCTAAGACATCCAGGGACGAATTGTCATTTTACTCTTGAATGGTTTTCTACCTAAGACATCCAGGGACGAATTGTCATTTTACTCTTGAATGGTTTTCTACCTAAGACATCCAGGGACGAATTGTCATTTTACCTTGAATGGTTTTCTACCCCCATCCAGAGACCAATTGTCATTTTACTCTTGAATGGTTTTCTACCTAAGACATCCAGGGACGCATTGTCATTTTACTCTTGAATGGTTTTCTACCTAAGACATCCAGGGACGAATTGTCATTTTACTCTTGAATGATTTTCTACCTAAGACATCCAGGGACGAATTGTCATTTTACTCTAGAATGGTTTTCTACCCCCCCCCCCCCAGGGACGAATTGTCATTTTACTCTTGAATGGTTTTCTACCTAAGACATCCAGGGACGAATTGTCATTTTACTCTTGAATGACCCCCCCCCCCCCCCCCCCCAAAGACATCCAGGGACGAATTGTCATTTTATGTTACATCCATGTCCTCATATAGTGAAGTTCTTTGTAGAATATCACTATCATTATTTGCAGGAATGAATCTGTTTACTGAAGATTTTCATGTCTCATGTATCTCCATGCTCAGGCTGTCTGACACAGTGTTGGTCAGCAACTTTTTTGTTTGTGTGATGGGGGGGGGGGGGGGGGGGGGGGGGGGACATCTTGCCTTTTTATGTAGCTCACTTTTAAAGTACTTTTTCCTTGTCTTGATAAATAGACATTTGGTGCTAACCCCATATCTATATGTCAGTCAGCTCTAAATGTGTGATGCAATCAGCATCTGTCTCGCCACTGTTACCTGCCAGAAAGTTAACACCTAGCATGGCAGCCATTGTCACTGTGGCTTTCCGTTCTTTCTCAACCATTGCAATCTGATAGGGCCAGAATGCTTCAGTTCACTGGTACATTGTTTTATCTTGGATGTTCATATCTTAGTTTACTCCTTGTTGTGCTACATTGTTGTACTAATCTTTGCTATTGTAAGCTCAACAGTTTTTAGTGTTTTATGAAACTGATTTACCTCTGTATGTTGCTGCAGGAAGAAACTGATTTACCTCTGTATGTTGCCGCAGGAAGAAACTGATTTACCTCTGTATGTTGCCGCAGGAAGAAACTGATTTACCTCTGTATGTTGCCGCAGGAAAGATGCATGATTTTTGTTGCCTACTGTCTTGAGAATGCTTTTGTGCAGAGTTTGTGAACTCAGGGAAGAATTTTTTTTTTTTATTAACTTCAGATAGGTTTTTCATTTTGCATTAACATTTTAAAATATTTCTTATCAGTCAGCCCTTCATCAAATCTTTTCCTTTCTTCTTGCCGCTCATTCTTCCTATCCTTTTTTTAAATTAGTTTATTTTTCATCATTTGTTTTTCTTTATTCACAGTGATATACCAGAGTTTTCCTCCAGCTGATGCTAGCAGATTTGCCAGGTATGGCTTATGTGGACATTTGCATCTCCAGAGTGTCATTGTGGGCTGAATGTCAGTGTCTGCATGTGTGTTTATGTTAATAAATGAGATAAAGGCGTTATAAATATATGATTTGAGGTAAGCAGTTATAGAAAGTGACACAAGTTTTATTCTGCTTCACTTCCTCTTTTACTGCTTTGGATGTTGAGGAAGATAAGGTTTTGTTTTGCTCTTCTGGTTGCCTCAACCATAGAACATTGTGCTGTTGTAGAGTTTCTCTGGTATGATGTTACCTACTTGTTTTTGCTCTGTTTTGTGCTCTGAGTTTCTCCTTTGGTGCATTTTTTTTAAAAAAATGGTAGGACATCACAAGGTATTTTGTGTGTGTGTGTGTGTGGGCGAGTTATTTGATTTGCTGTCTTTACACATTTAATGCAGTGACCAGAAAGTTACACCTATAATCTATGGAGAAGTTTGCCTGGCTCTCTAGCGAAGTTGGTTAAACCTGACTTTCGCGACGGCCGGGTGACGAACTCCTTGTGGTCCGGGTTCACTCCCAGGGGTAGGCAGAAAAGCCACATTTCTCCCAGATTAACGGTATCTATAATGGAATCAATGCCGAAGGGTAAGCGTATAAGTCCATAGGCAGCGTTATGTGCAGCAAGGTTTACAACAGCAGGTTGCAGGCAGCACGTTAAAAAAAAAAAAACAAAAGCTAGTTTAGACACACGCAAGTTGCAGGCAGCTAGTTACATGCAAGTTGCAGGCAGCTAGTTACATGCAAGTTGCAGTCACCTAGTTACATGCAAGTTGCAGTCACCTAGTTACATGCAAGTTGCAGCCAGCTAGTTACATGCAAGTTGCAGTCAGCTAGTTACATGCAAGTTGCAGGCACCTAGTTACATGCAAGTTGCAGTCAGCTAGTTACATGCAAGTTGCAGTCAGCTAGTTACATGCAAGTTGCAGACATCTAGTTACATGCTAGTTACTGGCAGCCGGTTATACACAGAATGTTACAGGCAGCTGGTTATACACAGCATGTTACAGGCAGCTGGCTACACACAGCAGGTTACAGGCAGCAGGTTACACACATCCGTTTAAGGCAGTTGGTTACAGACAGCTTGTTACCCACAGCCGATTACACACCACAGTTTATGGCAACTGGTTACACACTGCAAGTTATGCACACATTACACTGCGTGTTATGCAGATGTTGCACACAGCAAGTTAATTTACACATAGATTAAATTTCTGGTGTATTGCGAGTAATGTTTATATTGAAAATTCACAGGAGCACTTTGGAACTGGAGGCAGAGATACGGAAAATGGACCACAAGATTCAGTTTTTGGAACAAGGGTTAGTCACTCAGTTAGGGTAAAGTCTAATTATCAGTTCCTTGTGTGTGTTGGGGGGGGGGGGGGGGGTGTGTGGAATAGACCCAGTGCCCCCTAACAAGCATGTTGTAAAAGTTGATTAATTAGGGCTGTTTCTTTTGAAGTGTCTAGCAGATTGATTGTAATCGTCCTGGTCTCCCAGGCTTAGCAATTGTAAAAGAGATACCAGGAAAAGTCTTAAAGTGAACGTGTCAGAGTTTTTTTTACCATATCATATATCAGCTTCTTATTGGTCATGTGAAAATCTTGGTCCAACACCATGTATTTATGCGCCAGGGACATTGCGAGGATGCCTCTTCTTTTGTCATCTCACTGATACCAGGTTGTTGTATTTGTCTTACACTGCGGTGGCTTGTGTGCTGGATTTATTTTATATTTGTTCTTTTTGCTACACCATTTATCCATCTATTTCTTTGTCTTCCCTTCACCTTCATGTCAGATTTTCAGCTGTAAAAATGTCATTTGCAGTTTGGTCTGGCTGCATTCTCACTAGATGGTGAACCATTTCATTATTTGTCCATCAGTATTATTCAGTCTTATTTCAACTGTCTCTCTAATGGTGGTATGTCCTTCTTGCATTGTTCTTGACCTTACGAAGACAGCACATTTAACAGGTATTTATTTCTTTTCTAGTTCCTTATTCATGATCCATGTTTGGCACTGATAGCATAAAGTAATCCGCTGGATTGCTGCGGTCCTATTCCAGAGAAAGATTATACTAAGATGTGGTAGCTGGTCCTCAGAACCGCAAACGATATGTCCAGGCTTGCCACAGGGATCACCGCTATCACCAGTCTTATTCAATGTTTATACGGTGATGATCACTGAGCAGCAGTTGAATGGAAAGGGAAGGACTTTGTCATTTGCTGATGACATTTTGATTTATCGACGAGGGCGTGATAGACAGGAGATCGCCAGCACAATGCACAAAGAACTCGATCGAATTGCCGCCTGGTGTGATGGTTCCAATGCCTATGTCAATCCTCGAAGGCATCAGTGTCATGGTTCTCTTTGAACAATCACATTGTCAAGTCGGACTTACCAGAAGTGAAAATGCGTGATAATGTATTGATCAGAACCAACGTTATGACGTTTCTCGGGGTGAGGTTCGATCGCAGCTTGTCATTCAGGGAACACGTTGACCATGCGATAACAAAAGCACGCAAAGGTCTATCTGCAATGAGGATTATGGCTGCTTCCAATATCGAGCAAAGACTGCTGGTGCTTCTATTCTATGGTCTGGTCCTTTCCCCCATTGAATACGCTCTGGCCATCCTCACTGTCAGTGCTACCCAGATTGAACGACTCGAGAAGGTGCAAAATGAAGCCATGCGTATTATTTTGGGATGTACAAGAGACACATCTTGTGGAGCAATGAGGTATCTACTTGACTTTCCAACAATGAACCAAAGGATCAGGATGTGGAGGGCTCGGGCATACCTCAAAATATGTGCTGATAAGAAACACCCACTGCATCAAGCGCTTTTTAGTGAAAAGGGCGACAGACTGAAGAGGGGAAAATCGTGGCTAGGTCGGGCAGAAGATGTTATTAGGCAAATATGCAGCCTAACCGACATCATACCTGGTGCAGAATGGATACCTGTGCCTCAGGCGTTTATTTGTACATTTTCCTGTATTGTCACACTCAACAGGCGATGTAGAGAAGATAATCCTGTTGCTGTTAATGCAGAGGTCAACGCTCTCATCGGTGAAAATTCAGACGAAGCAGATGCACTAATCTATACAGACGGATCAGTTATACGCCAAAGAAGAAGCGCATGGGCATTTACAGCACGCTCAGCGGGCAGAACAGTCAAAGAAGCCAACGGCGCCTTCTCCATGACAACCAGCAGCATGACGATGGAGGTGATGGCAGTGACGCAAGCGTTTGCCTGGCTTGAAACACAAAAATACACCCGCATATGTATACTCAGTGATTCAATGAGTATGATCCGGAGGGTTCAGGCAGGTTCAGTGCGAAGACAATGGCTTGAATCAATTCAGAAGTCCACTGTGCGAGGAGTCACCTTTATTTTTGTTCCGGGACACGCAGGCGTCGATGGAAATGAAAGAGCTGACAGGTTGGCTGGATCCGCTATCACTACCGACGGTCGGCCTATGGATCATGCTGATATTATCAATGCCCTCAGAGAAATGGGAAGGATAGAGGACTTTGGTGGCAGTGAATCCACATCACTCGCCAGAATGGCAGACTTGGGAATTAAGATCGGCACAGCAAAAAACGAGACGCACACCGGACACGTCAGAAGACTTGTTAATCAACATAGAACTGGTACTATTAGCCATCGGACGTTGGGATTCATACTGAGGGGAGGATCTGAGCACCTATGGACATGTCCGGAGTGCAATGATGATAACCCAACTAACTAACTAACTAACTAACTAACTAGCATAAAGTAGAAATAAAACTTATCTTAATCATTTGCTGTTTAGCTGGAAGGGAGACATTTGGACTAACTAGTAGGTGACAACATTTGCCTTTTGTACTCTGGTTTCTATCTCTATCTTCTTCTTCTTCTTTGCGTTCACCAGCTGTAAACTCCGGTGGAAAGTTCTGATTGTTCGTCCACTTCTGGACTGCAGTCCTGTTCCAGAACCTGAGTGTTGAGTGTGCATCTGTTTGACAGATCTGACTAATTTGTATGTAGACTGTTGGTTCCTTGCCTCTCAGGCAGATGCACTCTGACTTGGAAGGAAGCTCCCAATTAGTCGACTCTTACGACATGCTTTTGGGTAGGCAGTGGGTCTATTCTTTGTTTTCCCTATAATAGGGCCCCAGTCCCACACAGGGAATCTGTCTTATCAAGTCGGCTATCTTCTGTAAGTTTATTCCTAGATATTTGAATTCTTATCATCATCATGTGCCCTGCCAACTGGCATAGGCACTTATGCGTCTCCACAAATCACGATCCCTGGTTGACTGGAATAGCTCTCTTGATGATATCCCTCCATGCCATCGTTTCAGCCCATCCAGAATCATCTCTCTTGGTCTTCCTCTGCCCCTTTATCCACTGATCTTTCCAGTTGTCACGATGTTCTCCAGTGTCTCTCTTCTCATTTTTTGGCCAAAGAACAGTGTTTATCTCTTTCTTATTGTATATAGAGATCTTTTCATTTGCCTCTTTCAATCAATCATTTTTTACTCTGGCCATCCAAGGTATTTGTAACATTCGACTCAGAAACCACATCTCTGTTGCTTCCAAATTCTTCTTAATTTGTTCAGTGACATTCCAAGAATTGCTGCCCTACAGCAGAACAGATTCTGTGTAACATTTTAGCACCCTCTGGATTCTTCTGCTTGTTTAATTGTAATACCGTTAACATGAACATTTATGTTGTTGCCTGCCTATCCTCATTGCTCATTTTTTTTTTTTTTTTGCTGCCTGGCCAAAATCAGAATCAGCAGTAGGATGGAACAAACCCAAGACCATATTAGAAAACACATGGGCAAAGCCATCTAGGAGACTTACCCGGTCAGAAAACCCATGAGGCAGAACCATCTAGGAGACTGAACCAGACAGAAAACCCATGAGGCAGAACCATCTAGGAGACTGAACCAGACAGAAAACCCATGAGGTAGAACCATCTAGGAGACTGAACCAGACAGAAAACCCATGAGGCAGAACCATCTAGGAGACTGAACCAGACAGAAAACCCATGAGGTAGAACCATCTAGGAGACTGAACCGGACAGAAAACCCATGAGGTAGAACCATCTAGGAGACTGAACAGACAGAAAACCCATGAGGTAGAACCATCTAGGAGACTGAACAGACAGAAAACCCTTGAGGCAAAACCATCAGGACGCTACGGAAAACAGGCTAAGGATAACAGGAACACAATGGGATACAGGCAAGAAGGAGCGGATGTTGTTAGGGACACAAAAAGGCAGCAAACTAGCACACATTTAATACTAGCCAAACACTTGGCACTAATAAATCAGACCATAAATATAACCAGAGACTGCAGCAGCAGGTTGAACATGGTTGAGTTTTTTTCTCCCTAGTATGTACATGAACATGAACTACACAAGTTCATCCAATATATATTCCAATAAATATATGTGTGAATGTATTGACAAAGAATTGAGTGTGGATCTGGCAAGGAGGGACGCATGAGAGGAAGAGAACGACGTGTGTATAATCGGTGTGCTACGGGAACAGTAAGCATCTACACCTTAAAAATTGGCTGCGGAAGACGGAGCATCTGTGGGTATGTCCGGTTCTGCTATTATTTAGATTTCCAAATCAGTAACCAATAAATATACAAGGGACACTTAACAATTTGCCTCTTGTGTAATTCTGTCCATGTAAGTGACGAAGAGCAGTGGTGAGAGGATCCTGAACTGCTTTATAATAAAGATTTAGCAATTTTTGAATTTTCAAAGCATCAATCAATTCAAACAGTATTTGTGTAGACGTATGGGAACTGTTTGTGAACTTAGGACTGAGAAATTAATGAACATTAAATTGGACATTTATTACAAGTATCAAGTATCCAATTAAATGTTGATCAGCTTTAATAGGTATTTGTTTTTGAATGCATTTAGCTTTGTGGATAGTTAAGAGTTAACAAGCTTAGGATAATTGTTTGCTTGTTCTCTTAGAAAGAAGACATACCCTGAAGTGAAATTTTTAACATACAAGGATCGAAAACGGATCTTGGTAAGTTGATTTCTGACTTTGGTTTAGATTCATGCTACCTGTATTAGCAGACATACCTTTATAGATTGTACTAGATCCATATTTTTGTTAATAGATCTATCAGCACTTAGTCGTAACACTATGTCAGTTTTATTAATCAGTCTTGGGTGCAGATTAGAACCCAGGATCTTTGGACCTCCAGACAAGAATTTAGCCACTGCATTATGATGGCTTCCAGTAATGTCTTGGTTACATCTTAAGCCTTTCTGTACCAGCCTGTGTTTACTAGACTGTTTCTACCCCAAGCAGTTCTAGTTTGAAGTAACCTATTTTTTAATTCAAAGGTATTCAGGTAATACACAAAAAGACAAAGAAGTTAAATTTATAGTTACAATTGTGTGAGTAAATAAAACAAATGCGTGTGGTTCTGGGCGTCAGTCAGTCAGTAAATGCATCCGGACTGGTGCAGAAAGGAGTTAATATTGAGTACTAATTAATAGTCAAAGGACAGGGCACGACAGACTTCAGCAACATATGTTTCAAGTGTTTCAGTATTAGAAACAGATACATCTCTACAAACTGTCACTTGAAGATGCTGAACATGTACTGCAGTACTGTAAAATATATGCTGCTAATGTAGAAGCCATCTGACCTATTCTCACCTCAGTCAAGACAAAGCTGGGGAGATCTGGACTGCCTGGTAGCTGTCAAGGCTACTCTCCTCTTATTTTGACAGCAGGATCAAAGAAGGCATTTCACAAACTTGAAGAAGTAATGTGGAGCTGATCAGTTCTCCTTTCGAACTAGTGGAGGAGAATAGGCAACACCTACTTATTTCTGTTCTGTCAAACTACAAATTGATCATTCAGGCTTGAGAGTTTATCTTGCAAAGAATTTACAACCAGTCAGTTAACAGAATGCTTAAAATGACAATGTACAGTCAATAAAAAAAATAATTTAAATGTTTAAGAGATTAAGGCACAAAGGAACCTGATCACAAAAATCAGAAAGAATTGATCAACATTTGTGAAGAGAAAAACTAGAATCTGTTTTAACAACTTGAAAGATTTAATTGAAAACTGCTAGTGGCAGATGACACCGGATACTCTCACAGCAGGACATGGAAGGATATCAATACCTGAATTACTTGGTAGTCTGCTAGTTTTAAAAGGTTAAGTAAAAGTCCTTTGTCATGCCAGTGGTGCATGGAGCATTTGATACTGGACTCATATTTTTTAGAGAACAATTGGCCCTTACACTGACTGCCTTTACTTCCCAGGACTTCATCTGGTACTAGTTTTAGGCTTGGTCAACTGGGTAGCCAAAACTGTTTTTTGAAAAATAAATATTACAATGAGGATTGGAACTCAGACTTTTGAACATCTAATCACTTCAGATACTGTAGCTGCAATATGTGACACCACTCATTGCTTTGTAAATGCAAGTGTTTGATCTGGGTGGGAATGTGGTTCTAAGGCTGGAACTTCAGATTTTATATTTTCAATAGGGTGATCTCAGTGGGTGAACAGCCATGAGAGAAATCCAGCCATAGAGGGTGAAATCTGGGTTTGACGAAGTTAGTCCTGTCTCCCAGGCAAATAAAAATTACTGATGTATGGCAGTTACAAGGTACTAAATGAGGATGATATAGGGATTGTCTGAATGGTTGTGATTACTACAGGGTGCAAACATGTTTTGAGTAACCTGTTTATATAGGTGATCACGCAGTGATGAGAGATCTGGTAAATGTGAAAAGCTGATAGTAGATTGTATTTATATAGCAGATTAGTGTTGTTAAGGTGTGAAGTTATAGACCTTCACCCTTTCTAGGTCATGACACATAATGTGAGTGCTTTCAGGGCTAAAAATAAACCTAATGCTAAAATGAAGTAAATGTCACAGCAAACTGAATTTTAGAATGAGCTGGATGCCAAAAATGAACTAAGTGCCAAAATGAACTGAATACCAGAGGGAACTGAATGCCAGAGGGAACTGAATGCCAGAGGGAACTGAATGCCAGAGGGAACTGAATGCCAGAGGGAACTGAATGCCAGAATGAATTGAATGCCAGAATGAACTGAATGCCGGTGCATCTGATTTATCAACCAGAATCCATTATGACCAAGAGAAAGCCTTTGATAGTCAACAGGAATATGTTGTCGAAATGTATGGGAAAAAAGGGAATCAGCAATCATCTCATTAATATTTGCAAAAGCCTGTACACACGTAGTAAATGCTGCATAAGATCGAAGGCAGGGTTGTCAAGAAGTTTTATAGTGAACTATGGTGTGCGTCAGTGCTGTGTACTATCGCCTCTTCTTTTTATAACATGTAGCGAAACGAACTTTAATTAAAGAAGATATTACAAATTACTATACGCCGACGACCAGGTACTCATAGCAGAAAATACGGAAAGCCCACAGAACCACCTAAATCAAATTAGTAACAAAGGGGAGGAATATAATATGAAAATAAACACTACAGAGACAATGATGATAGGAAGACATAAAGATAATTTAGAAATAAAATGAAAAAACAACACCCGGAGACAGAGGAATTTAAGTATTTGGGAGCAATTTTCACATCCGACTGAAAATCGGACAGTAATTAGCTCCTGATGTGCCAAAGCTAATCAGGTAATGGGGCAACTATCTCCCGTGTTGACACACAAGCAGATACCTCAGAGTACTAAAGTGAATCTTATCAGAACTATTTTTTGGCCAACACTAAGCTATCAATGCCAGACGTGGACACTTACATCTTCCAATGAACGTAAAATTGTGACAACCGAGATGAAATGCCTTAGAAGAGCTGCAGAAGTTTCAAGAAAAGACTGAATATGAAATCATGAAATCAGACGAATGCTAGGAACCTACAAGGAATAAAGCCAGTCTTAGAGGTCATCAAAGAACAACAAATGAAGTGGTTTGGACACCTAACAAGAATGCCCTGGTACTATCTGCTACAGCGAGCCACACTAAAACGTCACAACGGGTATAGAGCGAGTGGAAGACCTCGGAAAACATGGAGTGATGGCATTAAGAACAGCCTTACAGAAATGAACATCAGTCTTAATAGTGCTCTTGACAGAGCTCATCAGTGAACATTACATCCCCCCCCCCCCCCCCCCCCCCCCCCCCCACCCCCGGACACTTCGATGAGGTACAAGGATGAAGAGAAGAAGATCCATTATGATCAGTGTATAATTTAATTTAGACTTCATGTTTTCTGCCCCTCCATATGTATCTCCCCAAGCTGTTGAATATTTCTGCATAATTTTACAAATACTGATTTATTTGAATATAAAAGATTTCCTGCTCTTGCAATAAGATACATTATAAAAAAACAAAAACAAAACAATGAAACCAAATCCAGGTTTCTCTGTAGGAGAGAATGTAAAATTTCTCTGCAGGATCTTAAATCTGTGCTATTCACATTTTTGATTGGTAATGTGAAGCATGTTTAATGTGGGGTTTTGGAGAGTTCTACACAGATTTCTAGTAGCAAATCTGGAAGATTATCATGACAGCACTTTGGACATATCCATAGATGCTCTGGTCTCCTCCTCAAAACTCCACAAATGTGAAGACTTGACGCCTGTTTGTTGATTAATCAGATATCTTGAGCCCTTGGTAACATGTTGATTTCCCACAGCTCCAGGGCACACTTCATCAGCTTAGACAGGGATACAAGAGTCATACTGCTTGCCATATTTATCTCCGCCGTAAATGCTGTGCTTGGCATAAATAACCTTGCTTCTATGCAGTACCGGATCAACCATGTCAACTGCTGTGTCTGCAAGATAATCTGCATGCTTGATGCCTCGAGCACTTGCGTGACTGCACAAACATTCTTCTTCTTTGTGTTCACCAGCTGTACACTCTGGCGTAAAGTTCTGGTTGTTCGTTCACTACTGAACTGCAGTCATGCTCCAGAACCTGAGTGTTGCATGTGCATCAGTTTTACAGATCTGATTCAATTGAATGCAGACTGCTGGTTCCTTGCCTCTCAGGCAGATGCACTCCGACTTCAAAGGAAGCTCCCCAGTTAGTCGACTCTTACGACATGCTTTTGGGGAGGCAGTGGGTCTATTCTTGTTTTCCCCACAATAGGGCCCCGGAACCCACACGGGGGTGCACAAACATGATTAGGCCAGCCATTTGTGGTGTGCTTTCTTTGAATCAAGGAATGAGGAATAGATGCTGCTATTGGAAGGGACACAAACTGAAAAACATGAGAACATAACTGCTTTAGACTTTAAAAAAAAAAAGGCAGATTTTAAAGTTAAAAACAAAATTATGAAAAGAACTTGAAGGGAAAGAGTCAGAAGGAAATGGTGAGCTGTACATAATGACAAAGATAAGATGATTTGGCAAGGCTGGGCTGTTTTCATACTTCATTGAGGGGATCTGAAGCATATTGCTTGCTATCTGTTTGATATATAATGTGGAGAACATTGTGATAACTGGAAAATCAATGGTGGCAGTGGCAGAGGCAGATTGAGAGAAATGAGGTTTGATCGCCTGAAGTGATGGCATGGGGGAATATCATCAGTAGAGTTGATTCAAATACCAAGGATCAAGATCTGTGGAGAAACATAAGCACATACGCCGCTAGAAAGAGGGCACATGATGATAAGATGGGAATCTAAGATTAGTTCTCATCCCAGATTATGATTGTCAGAAAACATCTTTCATTTGCAGATAACTGGGGGTGCAGGCTTTGTTGGCTCCCATCTTGTAGACCGTCTTATGATGCAGGGTCATGAGGTCACTGTGGTTGATAACTTTTTTACTGGCCGTAAACGAAATGTGGAGCACTGGATTGGGCATGAAAACTTTGAGCTGCTTCATCATGATATTGTCAACCCCCTGTATATCGAAGGTAAGACACTGAACAGTGGAGGTCTCTTGTAGAATAGGAAGGAAACTTTACAGAATAGTCAGAACCCAGAGAGTACATTGTAGATAAGACACTGTGTTGTCACCCAGAGTTCATTGTAGATAAGACACTGTGTTGTCACCCAGAGTACATTGTAGATAAGACACTGTGTTGTCACCCAGAGTTCATTGTAGATAAGACACTTTGTTGTCACCCAGAGTACATTGCAGATAGGACACTGTATTGTCACCCAGAGTACATTGTAGATAAGACACTGTGTTGTCACCCAGAGTACATTGCAGATAGGACACTGTGTTGTCACCCAGAGTACATTGTAGATAAGATACTGTGTTGTCACCCAGAGTACATTGTAGATAAGACACTGTGTTGTCACCCAGAGTACATTGTAGATAGGACACTGTGTTGTCACCCAGAGTACATTGTAGATAAGACACTGTGTTGTCACCCAGAGTACATTGTAGATAAGACACTGTGTTGTCACCCAGAGTACATTGTAGATAAGACACTGTATTGTCACCCAGAGTACATTGTAGATAAGACACTGTGTTGTCACCCAGAGTACATTGTAGATAAGACACTGTGTTGTCACCCAGAGTTCATTGTAGATAGGACACTGTGTTGTCACCCAGAGTACATTGTAGATAGGACACTGTGTTGTCACCCAGAGTTCATTGTAGATAGGACACTGTGTTGTCACCCAGAGTACATTGTAGATAGGACACTGTGTTGTCACCCAGAGTACATTGTAGATAAGACACTGTGTTATCACCCAGAGTACATTGTAGATAAGACACTGTGTTGTCACCCAGAGTACATTGTAGATAAGACACTGTATTGTCACCCAGAGTACATTGTAGATAAGACACTGTGTTGTCACCCAGAGTACATTGTAGATAAGACACTGTGTTGTCACCCAGAGTTCATTGTAGATAGGACACTGTGTTGTCACCCAGAGTACATTGTAGATAGGACACTGTGTTGTCACCCAGAGTTCATTGTAGATAGGACACTGTGTTGTCACCCAGAGTACATTGTAGATAGGACACTGTGTTGTCACCCAGAGTACATTGTAGATAAGACACTGTGTTGTCACCCAGAGTACATTGTAGATAAGACACTGTGTTGTCACCCAGAGTACATTGTAGATAAGACACTGTGTTGTCACCCAGAGTACATTGTAGATAAGACACTGTGTTGTCACCCAGAGTACATTGTAGATAAGACACTGTGTTGTCACCCAGAGTACATTGTAGATAAGACACTGTGTTGTCACCCAGAGTACATTGTAGATAGGACACTGTGTTGTCACCCAGAGTACATTGTAGATAGGACACTGTGTTGTCACCCAGAGTACATTGTAGATAGGACACTGTGTTGTCACCCAGAGTTCATTGTAGATAGGACACTGTGTTGTCACCCAGAGTACATTGTAGATAGGACACTGTGTTGTCACCCAGAGTACATTGTAGATAAGACACTGTGTTGTCACCCAGAGTACATTGTAGATAGGACACTATGTTGTCACCCAGAGTACATTGTAGATAAGACACTGTGTTGTCACCCAGAGTACATTGTAGATAAGACACTGTGTTGTCACCCAGAGTACATTGTAGATAGGACACTGTGTTGTCACCCAGAGTACATTATAGATAGGACACTGTGTTGTCACCCAGAGTACATTGTAGACAGGACACTGTGTTGTCACCCAGAGTACATTGTAGATAAGACACTGTGTTGTCACCCAGAGTACATTGTAGATAGGACACTGTGTTGTCACCCAGAGTACATTGTAGATAAGACACTGTGTTGTCACCCAGAGTACATTGTAGATAAGACACTGTGTTGTCACCCAGAGTACATTGTAGATAGGACACTGTGTTGTCACCCAGAGTACATTGTAGATAAGACACTGTGTTATCACCCAGAGTACATTGTAGATAAGACACTGTGTTGTCACCCAGAGTACATTGTAGATAAGACACTGTGTTGTCACCCAGAGTACATTGTAGATAGGACACTGTGTTGTCACCCAGAGTACATTGTAGATAAGACACTGTGTTGTCACCCAGAGTACATTGTAGATAGGACACTGTGTGGTGTTCTCTCATAGATTGAATATGACACTTTATAATGAAGTGATATCCCCAGTGTATATCAAAGATACTGTACATTAAATTTCTTACATTATATTTCTTAAAATTGGCATTGACGCTTGTGCAGTGCACTTAGAACTTACTGTGTAATCAGACCCCAGGGCATATTTAGGCTTCTTTTATATTTGATGTGACACTACATTCAAGTCAGAACTCAGTGTATACCAAAAGTAAGACCTCTTTTTCTTCAGCATTCCTACTAACCTTTGATCA